TCATCATGTTTGTGCCCCTTCAAATGAAGTGGTGACCCGGTCTGTCGGTCACAGCAGTGCATGTAGTCTGTTGAATTCAAAGTGTTGTAATCATGATTAACTACAAATCAATAATTTGGCGTCTTAGGGGAAACCGAACTGAGAAACTTTTGAAAGAACATCTTGCAGTTATAGAATGGACTTACTGGCAGAAGTCTTGATGATTGAGATACCTTAGTTGATGCATTCATTAAGGTATTGTTCCTGCATTAAGTCATGCATGAGATAATATTAATCCTTGCACATTACTGATAGTTCATGAAGTACTAACTACATGAATGAATTCATGATGATTCATGTACCTTACCATAAAGTGTTACCGTTGCGGATAGAGTGATATTGATTTTTCAGAAAGTCAAACAGCCCTTGTTTGCAAAACATACTGGGGAGCATGTTTATTTAATACAGGAGTCACAAATACTGTATGTCACATTTAAAATGCTTATTTACAGCACACAAAATATGCTTTCATTTTCAGATTTCGTTTTTTTAAATCACCGTCCTAAAGCTATTTGGAGAAACGTAATCCTTAACTTTTGATGACTTGAGATGAATAAACTTAAACAGATTTTTGCCAATTTACGATAAAATATGTAATTCTGTTGCAATTGTATAGCCGTTATGGAGAAACAATTGTTTTGCTTAATTTCTTTGTTTTATTGGATAGAACAGCCGGAGATAGACAGGAAAGACGGACAGAGAAAGGAACAACAGGCCATGGACAGCAGTTTGGATTTGACTAAGGGCCGTTGCTGTAAGGCCTTACATGGACAACAGGTTGATACAGGTCAGCCACAATGGACACTTTACAGAGACATTGTGGGTGTCTGGTATGTCCCTGCACAACTTAAGAACACTTTTCGGGCTGGGAGACGGATGGATGTGAGACTGAAATCGTTTTTTCTAACTTTTAGGTCACTTTGTTGCAGTCTCTCCAACAACAAGGCTACTATAATAATAATAATAATAATAATAATAATAATAGTAATAATCAATTGTGTTTATAAGCGCACTTTTCATTTGAATATACAAATATGAAAGTGCTACAGAGTAAAATGGTTGAAACAAAACAACAAAAACAAAAAATAATAAAGTAAACGTTGACATCCATCTGAATTTCTTTCTTCCAAGGACCGAATGCTTTCCCCTTTAATTGTGGGGTGTCTTTGGGAGTCTAAGGACAGCCCCCGCTCTGTAAAGCCCCCTCAGACATATGTGTAATATGTGATATTGAGCTAGATGCTGCTGAACAGCGTGCATTGAGCTGACCTCCGGGCTCTCTGCAGCGCTGCAGTCTCTGCTGGGGTAGTTGAACAGCGCTCGGCTCAGGCCTTCTCCCAGCAGCTTCCCGTTGTCCCGCAGCTCCTCCGGACTCAGTCCTGCACGCCGGCCGCGCCCCTCCAACAGGAACTGCAGCTGGCGCTTCCTTCAGGGTGGAGAGAGAGGAGACACAGTGAGAGACACACACACACACACACACCTGAGGAGAAACAGCGGCAGAGAGCACAGTAATAAAGATTTTGTGCTAACTCAGAGAGAAGCCCTTTGATTTCATTATAGTGTTTATTTTCCCTCATTACAAAAACTACACTTATAAGTTGCCTTGATGCTAGCTATCACTGATGTTACTGTCTAATCAGTATGAAATCTCATGTGTTTCACCGCTGCACCAACATGTTCCACGGTCTCTGCCAGGATGCTAAAATAGTCTGCAGGCAAAAATTCCACATAGGATAAGATAAGTGTGTGTGTGTGTGTGTGTGTGTGTGTGTGTGTGTGTGTGTGTGTGTGTGTGTGTGTGTGTGTGTGTGTGTGTGTGTGTGTGTGTGTGTGTGGATGGCTAGTGTTGCTCATGCTGGAGGCAGAGAGGACACTCCCAGTCTGATTCAGCAGCATCAGTGTCCGCCTGTGATGCAGCCACCGCCTGTGAAGGCGGTGGCTGCATCACAGGCGGACACTGATGCTGCTGAATCAGACTGGGAGTGTCCTCTCTGCCTCCAGCATGAGCAACACTAGCCATCCACACACACNAGATTGTTTTACACAGCCAGATCTGATACCTGTCAGTATAATAATACATTATATTTTTATAGGGCTTTTCAAGGACTCAAAATGGCTTTACAATATAAGGGAAGGTTAGGGTGGGGGGTATGGGACTATCAAACTTGATCAACCGGCAAGAGGAGAAGAGATGGGTTTTGAAAAGGGACTGGAATACTGTGAGGGTCTCAGAATTGCAGAGATCTTTGCATCAATATGTTCCAAACGTTTTTTTTTTAAATGTAAAAAAATATATATAAAATGATAAATAGTGAAAAATTAAATATTTCTAGTGTGAATCAAAATATAATACAAGTGATTTTTATTGACAAAAATGGCATAAAAACACATTATTCTAATACGGGTCCTTTTTGACCCACTTATGGACGAGTGTAGGGTCCAGTCACTCGTGCATCTAAGGGTTAAAGGGTATTTGTAGTCTTGTGTTTAACAGAGACATATGTTCAGGATTTACATCTCTGGAGGGCTAAAGGGTAAAAAGGGGGATATGCAAAGGGTTAAGGACGAGGGGGTTTAATGGTGGGGATGTTTAGATGATGCTAAGGGACTTTAAGGGTGGGACCAGTTGGCTATTCTCTCTACTATACAGTGGGACTGTGAGCTGTGAACTTCTCCATCCTCTGAGGTGAAGTAGCTCTGTTCCTACATTTGAGATGGATTTCACTTCTATATTGACTTTCTTTATTAAATATAACAAAAAGACAACCTTTGTCCATTTCTCCTTTTCTCCACACTTACCTCCTTTGTTGGCGGCTTCCACAGCCTCAGCCGGCAGACCGAACTGATTCATGAGCGGGCCGAGCTGACCTGAGGCCAGAGCGCTGCTGAACATGCTCATGGACTGAGGGAGGGAGGGAGGAACCAGTCAGTGTGGTAGATTACAGCAATAAAACATTCCTCTCGTCTCATTCAATTAACTGTGTTACCCTTTAACAATTACAGATAGCAAATGAACTCTCCCTTCCAAGAAGTAACCAGCCACAATCAGGAGCTTATGATCACATTGTATTAGCGTATGTGGGGCCACAAGGTAAAGGTGTTTTCATTTCAGCAGAGGATCAGCACGTCTGTGTATTTGGAGCTCCTGGGTGTGTATGCGTTACCTGTTGAAACTGAGGTGAGCTGATGGTGTTCTCGATCTCCTCGGCGCTCTGTGGGAGACTCTCCCCGCTGGGCAGGAAGGGGAGGAGCCTCTTCTGGACCTCAGCGTTGGTCAGGATGGGAGCCATCATCTCCGGGGTGCAAACGCTCGCTAGGTCCACTGCAGCACAGGAGAGGAGTCAGTTTAGGCTCAGGGATAACTTCTATCCTTTGACAGTATCTCTCCTCTTCGACTTCCGCCCTCCCTCATTTAGCTGAGGCTGAGGTTTGTGTTGTTGCTAAGCAGTGACGTCTTAAATCTGAATCCTACATTCAGTGTTCTGTCACTCACCTGCGGCTCCCTGAGCAGCTGAGGTTGCTGGGACGTTCATGGTGGCGAGGATGCTCTGAAGGTCACTGAGCTGGATGGGCTGGTGAGAGCCGGGGCTCCCAACAGAGGCGGGGGTCAGCGGGGTCTGAGCTGAGGCTGAGGGGGGGGGAAGGGTTGTTCAGATAACACAAAGCAAAAGGGTCAAATAGGTTGTTGAAAATGTAGCTCTTGATACTCTTTTTAGAGTTGGGTGTTGGAGGGACACAAGGTTTGAAGATTCTCTACTATCAGCAAATGGATACTCAGTTATTATTTGATTTGTTCCCAATGAGGAGGGACATTGTTTTGGCTATCGAGTTGTTTCAAGGTGATTTAATTGGTGTAGTTAATAAAGAGTAGTAGTAGGTCCCTGTGCTAAAGCTGTACCTGGTGTGGAGGGAGCAACAGTAGTAGGGGAGGCGGCTGAGGCAGCAGGGGTCACGGGGGTGGTGGGGGCCTGAGTGGTGCTCAGCCTGGAGGCCCCGCCTGAGGAAGGAGTGGCAGCCATGTTTATCGGTATTTTTCATAATAAAGTCTTTTAACATTTTGACCACAAGCATCACGTAAGTTTTGTAAGGTAAGGCACATGAAGGAAAGACAGTGTGTACATAGAGCCGAGAATTGCGAAAAATTTTACGTTAGGTTGATATTTAAACCCGGGAACAACTAAACAAAATAACAACAGATTCCTCCAGACCCTCGAGATCGTCCTGGTCCGCCCCGATTGGACGAACCCGTCGCCGCCCCGGCCTGGTGGGGTGGTCCGTCGAGGAGGAGGTCCACTCTCCTGTTGTAACACAAAAAGTATAATGTAAAATAATATTTAGTTCATGACGACTTGAGTGGAAGGGGGGGGGGGGGGGGTGTCGAGAGCGTCNGATTCTAAGAGGCAAAATACTCACTAAAGTACAGTTTGCAACATCAGGAGCTAGAGACTGTTAAGAAGTGTTGTGATACATTGTTGATGCTTAGCCTATGGTTATAAGATAATGAAATATTTGTAAATCTTTAGTGAACACTTTGTACGCAGGATTGTCTAGTTTCATCTAAATCATATATGAGTTGTAGAACG